TTTATTAGTACTAGTTTACTAAGTACGTAAGTAAATAGGACAGGTACCGTCTGAGGAGTAGAGAGTACAAGAATATATATATATATATATATATATATATATATATATATAAAAAGTTTTTTTTTTTTTTTTTTTTCATTTTTAGGTAGTTTGCAATTAATTTCATTACGCATTTTGGGTAAGGATGAAGGCATAGTTGTCGGAACTATGGGGGTAAGGCCAAGGTCCCACCTTAGGAACTCAATCCCCAAGGTTCCTGTTAAAGGATCTTAGAAGGAGCTAGGTTTAGAGAAATATGGATCTCGCTTCCTATAAAATGAAATCTCGGTCTATATGCTGTTAGGATCCCTCCAAGGAGAGGAGCTATATGATTAATTGAACTACTGCTCCTCTCCTTGGTATTGTAAATTTACTTCTTTAGAATATTTTAAGCTGTGGTACATATAGCATCGTGGTATTCTAGAATTATGGTATTAAAAAACTATAGTTTAATATGATAGTAAGCCAATTTGTGATATTATTAAACTGTATTGTTGTAGTAAATTGGAGTACTATAACTATCGCGTTGGCATTAAGCTAAGCTGTAGTTGTCTCAATCCTAATTTTATCATATATTATTAATTGATATCATTTTATGTGTAATGGAGCTTAGATCTCTCCAAGTCAAAACCTCAGCCCCATTGACATGGGATTTTGCTCCTAAGTATCCTAGGATCTAGCTCTTTAAGTTGTTGAATGTTTGGATGTTGATCCTAACCCCACGGAGCTTCACCCTGTAGCGGTTTGGCTCTTTATGAACCGATCCTGCTCCCGAATCCAACGACTATGGATGACTGTATAATGACAGTTTACACATGCTTTTCAGAAATATATATGTGAACTTTCTTTAGTAGCAAGTTGTGTATGGCTATGGACTTTTGTTTGGAAAAGATCTAATGTGAATTAATGTCTCTTGAATGCTGTCTTGCTTGACATATGGTGGTTTAAATTTGAGATTTTCCTTCAATTGTTATAAGTTGGGAAGTGCTTTAGTAATGCAATCCATGTACTTAAGAGTATCCACAAGTTTCTATGTGAATCCGACTATATTTTTTGGGTCTATTGAGCATGTGCAAATTGCATGGGCACATGTGAAATATTGATATGATAGCACTGCCATCTAACATTTGTTTGACTTCTTATGTGTTTATCCCATCATACCCCTAGGTTACTTCACGAACAAATAATATTTTCATTTGAATCCGGAGTCCGCTCTTCATATGCTCAATAGTGACATTCAAACACAAATGCCCTCCAAGATACCAAATCCAACCATTTCTTTGTATCTAGGAAGAAATTACCATCACCACTGGTCAATTAGAAACATGATTTCATTGGGGATTATCGCACTTATTCAACTGACACAATTGATTCATCCTTTCCCAACATTCTCAATCACTCAAGAATCTCACCCAATTATGCATTCATAAGATGAAGGTCCTGTATCACCTTTTGTTCCACCAAGTAAAACCGTGTCCATGTTAAAACAAGAGTCTAAACAATCACTGGGCCTTCTGGCCAAGTATGCATGCTTGCCCTAGTCATCTTCAAAGTTAACTCTCTTGTCTGGCATTGTTTAATATGACCATTTTTCTAGACAATTCCAATACTAATGGCTATGCATTGCATATTTCTATTCTCTTGCTCCACAACCTTCTGATCCCTGTCTCAATTTCACATGACCCACCTTACGAGAATTGGTTGTTATATTCTTTCTGTAGAAAAATTAGCTGATATGTTTGTCTTTGATGGCAAACCCCCCTGATTACAAGTATTTATTGCACAATAAAAACTAAACTTTTAGCATGTTTTGTGTGCTTTTGTTGTGTTGCGCTGTGTGGGCCTACATACATGAGTTTTGAAACTTGAATTATTAAATCTTTAGAAGATTGAAGGTTGCCCACGCATTGTTCCAAAAGGCAGACCGACTGGCGCCTAGGCGCCTCGCCCAGGCCTAGGCAGTAAAAATATGCAGCTGCCCAAGGCTTGCGTTGCGCCTAGCCCTGGGCGGCCTCCTAGGGCTTGCACTGTGCCCAGGGGCGAAAATGCCCCTTGTGGAGGGGCATTTTTAGGTTGTGTGATAAAAATAAGAGTATAAAAAGTGGGGTTTAGGTTCATTTCAAATCTAAATCCCATTAGAGCCCATTTAGAGAGGTATAAACCTCAAAAAACTAGATTTTTGTAAGTTGCCACTTCTCCTAGCAGCTCACATTCCACCAACACCACCTTTTTACCTCTGCGAGCTGCTACTTCTCCTAGCAGAGGAAGCAAGTTAGGACGTCAGTGCTAAGCTCGCAACAACAGAGTCAGCTTATGAAGGCTATTTAAAGCTCGCTAGTCGATGCAACATTTGGATTGGGAACTTTTTGGGAGTCTGTTGAACTCCGATCTTTCTTTTCTCTTCTATTAATGTATATCGTGTTATTCTTTTTTCTACTTCTTACCGCTC